AAAGACTTCACTCTGTGTTGAAAGTGCTAGGAATCCTTTGTATATTTAATATTTTTGGAAAGACAAACACCATTGATTAAAATGATTAAATCAATGCATTAATGTGTTTACCACCAAATGTGCCCCATGCTCACAACTGTCCAGTCTGCATTAAGGTTAACACACTTTTACTCTCTGGCTTTTAACACAGCAAGAGTTGTGTGGTCTGTTTTTTTAATTTTTTTTTTTATATAATTTTATTTTAACTTTTACGTTGATAACTGGTATTTTATTGTTTTTTATCGTTTTTACTTCATGTATTATTTACCTTTTCTATTTTTGCATCAACTTTGTATGGATTCCTTTAGATTGTGTTACATTTATCTCTGTGCAGCACTTTGGAAAACATTTATTAGTGGCTCTGACAGATTCCTGCAAATGGTTCTGCAAGAAACCGCAAATACAACCAAGACCTACAATATGAAAATGTTTTACTAGTGACTGATTTACTACCCCTGTTCCTTGATTTGATATCGAACTAATAATTCCTGGTTAAACTTGTAAGTGAAAGGAATTAAAGAGGGATGCACCGATACTGACGTCTGATCGACACGACTGGTACTTGAACTTGTACTTTTACCATGGGACCCGACGCTGGCAGCCAATACCCACACTTTTGATTTACATTAGCGTCACGACAGCAGACAGCTGTGCTCCACGTGTCGTCATGGCGATCTCCCAAAGTGGGCATCGAGAAAATAAAGTAGCGGTCAGCAAGCAAGCAGCAAGACGACAGGATATTGACCGTATGGCATTTTATAAAAGGTAAACAAGAGTGACAAGAGTAAAGCTTTGTGTAAGGCAAAGCTGTCAAGAGGTGGGTCCAAAACAAACACGTAGAACACCTTTGATAGAACGAGCTATTTCCTTTTAACATTTGTATGAGTGGAATATGACAGTGGCTCCTATTGTTGACTCGGGCGGCACGGTGGCTGAGTGGTTAGCACTCTCGCCTCTCAGCAAGAAGGTCCTGGGTTCGAATCCCGGTTGGACCAGGGCCTTTCTGAGTGGAGTTTGCATGTTCTCCCCGTGTCTGCGTAGGTTTCCTCCGGGTGCTCCGGTTTCCCCTACCACTAAAAATATGTACAATAGGTCTGGCATGTGCCTCCTGTACTGGTGACCCCCACTCCCAAAAATAACAATTGTAAACCGCTTTGAGACCCCGATGTGCAGTGAAAAGGCGGTATATAAATAAAGATTAATTACTTACTTACTTACTTACTCTTAAAACAACTGCTAAAATGTTTAATTTTTAAAGCATTTTCTTATTGTTGAAAGGAGAAATAACATTTAAAATTTCAGTTGTATTAGTTTAATGAATTCTCAGGGATTACACAATGCAGTACTCGCATCGGTACTCGGTATCAGCAAGTAAGGTACTTGTACTCGGTTTGAAAAAAATAATAAAAAATAACGGTATCAGTGCATCCCTAGAATTAAGCTTCTTGGTAAAGGTCTTTCTTCCATAGTCTCTCCGCGTCCTGTCATTTTGTCACTTTTCAGTCCACAACTGCAAAGATCGAGGTGTAACTGGGAGTATGTGTTGATAGGTGACACTGCCAAATCTAATTGGTGCCAAGCATGGTTGGCATAGCAACAGCAGGTAATTTTGAGGAAAGGGGATAAGCGTATATGGGATGTCAGAGTAATAGTAGGGTCTCCTGTATCGCTCATGACAAGAGCTGTCAGGCGCAGCACTGTGGCCCCCGATTCCAGAGCCCATTTCTACCAGCAGCATGTGGAGCACAGTCAAGTCTCACAAATGCATGAGATCATTCGGATACTGAGCAAGAATTTAAGCAGGTTTAAACCTAAAGTGACCTGCAAATACCTGGATTATTCACCCAAGCCACAGTACAGTAGCTAAATCCAATGGCAAATATAGCAAACATGTGAACGCTTGGAACATATACCATATTTATAGTACGTAATACATTGTTCATGTCAGTTTTGTATTTATCATTTACTACATATCTACTACATATATATATTTTGACTGGTATTGAAGCATTTTCAGCATCTACAGCTAGTTATGTTAGCTAAGAAACATAGCTACTACTTATTTGCATAGATTGTGTGTGATCCCTGTGTGCTCTCACTAATGTCCTGTCTGTGCGATGCAACATTGAAATTTCCCCACTGTGGGACGAATAAAGGAATTCTTATCTTATCTTAAGCGCCTACAATTGTTTTAATTTCAGGACTAAATATTGCTTACTTTAAACAGAAAAATATTTGCATACTGAGTGAGGGTTGATTGGCTGAAGGTCCTATTTTTTCACTTTTCTGTCTGAAAAAGGTGTTCCAAAGAAGTGAAAGGCCAAGTTGAAAATAAGTGACGGAGCTACATACATTTTATTTTTTTGTGGTGTCAAAGTTGAGGACTCCAGCTTTCAGATTTGAAATAACTAATACAATTACTTAACAGCAAATGATCTATACAATGCCAACGCTTTGATGATAAGTATTTTGTTTTTGATGCTGGAAACCATGTGCAACTATTGTGCACTGAAGGAGGTTTAAAGAAGCAATACCCGATTTTGTTTTTAATGAGTTCATAAAAATGCTTATTACTACATACAAGTTGTATTATAATCCGTAATTTAATTGAAAACTTGAGCTCATTGATTCAGCTGTGTATGAACTTAGGACGTAAAAAGTGCTGAGTAGCGTGACGCCCGCTCTCCTCCAATCACAGAACGAGGCTGAGTCCTCTAGCCTCTACAGCGCTGCTAAACACAGTAGCATGTTAGCATAAGTGGCTATAACTCCTCTGGCTGTAACTGCAGACACAGCAAAACAGTCCAAACGAAGCAACAGAGAGGAAGAGAAGAGGGAACTAAAGCCAATGATCAAAGAATTCAAGAAGAAGTCAAGCCCGGGTGAACATAGCTAGCTTATATCGTATCCTCCGGAGAAACTTACGGTCTATGGGAGAGACCTGTAACTAATCTGAAACTATTTTGTTACCAGTGTGTTGCTTTTGTACCATTTCATCAGTGATTGTTGTACAGCTTACAAGAAGTTGCGCTCATGCTAATGTTAGCATATGTATCAGATCGCAAAAAAACTAGATGGCTCCGAGGGATGAGAGCGTAGGGGAAATGAGAAGCCTGTGAGCGAGTTGAGGGGCGGGGCTAAACATTCATACCTTGCAGAAACGGGTATAGCTCCTTTAAGGGTGCGTTCACACTTCACATGTCGATTCTGGTTCACTATAAATGGACCAAGCATCGTCAACTGCTTTGGGGTCTGCTTCAAAGTAGTCGATTAGTTTACATTTACTAATAGACATAATGCTAACCCAAGTGAACCAAAATTGCTGATAAGAGAGATATGTGTTATGCAACGTGTGCTGATAGAGTATTTCAATCTGAATTTCTTCTTGAATTTCCATGTATAATTATTTAATTCACATTTGCTGCGCTGGCACATTTCTTCATGGAGCATACATTTGCTAAGAATAAAGCTGACCGAGATGTCTCCAAGTCCCGAGGATTGCTCTAATTGGGTCATAATTACATGTTAGAGATTCAGCAGTATAGTAAGTGGATGAGACAAATTGCAAAGGAAATGCCACAATAACATGTAATAAGACTGAACTCTGTAATCTCTAATTAGTTTACCCTTTTGGTGGAGCCGCATATATCTGCACCTGTGGAGGATTGTTTCAAAGAGGTTCTGATACACTTAGCCTATAAAGTTTAAAGGTGAGCTCCTTATGTAGTGAACAAATACTAACACTGCATAATAAATTATATTCAGTGCATCTGTCACTTTTCAAAGAAGATGTAGAAATGTCTTGTTTTGTTCAAACTAAGATCATTAATCAAAGCATCTTCATTCTTTTCCATGTGATATTTAGAGATCAGACAATAAGATTCTTAGGTATTTTTATGCTTACAAATAAACGTGTCATTGATGAATAAAGCTCCATATAAAGCATACTGGCATGACGCAATAACAGATTCATAAACCGTTTGGAGAAGAGTCCATTTTAATTAGTCCAGAAGCCAGGTTCAAAGCAATGGGGAAAAAACTAATTCAGGGCACAGTTTGATAAAAAGAACAACTACAATAGAACAAGGGACAGATATATATATTTTTTTATAACCCGATGCATGATGTACAGTGTAATTCAGGAGACTTGTTCTAGTCAACTGGACAGTGTCAGCGTTTCAGACTGATATTACTGATTGTCTATTGATGTATTTTTGTATTGAATCAAAGACTGTAAAAATAGATAGTCTGTTAGAATAAAAAAAGATAAACATTTATGAGGAATAGGACCAAAAAACAACAAATACATGAAGTTAACCAAACCAAAACCTAAAGGTCTCCATGGATGTCTATACATTGTAATTTCAACCAGTCATGCGCCAACTACGACAGCATGCATGGATCTGGTTTGTGGAGACCTGGACAAAAATAAACTGTATTATGACAATACTTTACCAATTCATCTTTACACAACACTGTCAAACTAAACCTCACTTATATACAATAGAAAAAAAGCTTTGAACTCATCCCCCAATCGGGTGTAGAAGGATCCACAATATCATTTTACTGGTTGGTCGAACACAGAAAGACAGAAAACCCAAACTGAATCTAAACTATACCTTCAAGCAACAGGCCTCTTGAAACCGATTTAGGCTTACAACAGTAAACAATGGAAACCAAAAGAACATTTCCAAACAGAGTACATGGATTTAAAAACGTATTCAAATATAATATGCTTCATTGTAAGGAAAGGAATTGTAATGTTTAATAATTCTCCTTTTGATAACATGGCATCTCTTTTCAGGACAGTCTGCAGTTACTGCTGTGGAAAGAGTAATGTCACTGTTCTTTGTGGTGAGGTACTGTTTGTACCTGTATCACTGTGAGTTGCCCCCTTTGAACAGTTCTGAAGGCAATCAGGTGAGTTTTTCTGCTGTTCATTTACCAACACACTGGATTACCTATGCAACGCTCTTAATTGCATTCTCATTCAGCTTATCCATGTAGTTCCTAAGATCTTTGGAGTTCCCAAGCTCTATGTCGGGACAAACCCATTTGATTTCACTGGTCTGTACCAATGGTAATGGGCTGAGCACAGGACACCCGTTACTGGCCTTGATATTGGAGAAGGTTGTAAACTTTACTCTTTTTCTCTTAGTTGTGGGAGAGTTCATAGAGTCGTTCTTATGATCTTTTCCACTTGAGCTACAGCCTGCACTGACGCTGCGTTGTAGACCTCCATTCAGGAGCTGGCTGCCTTCTTCCAGAGTTCCGCCCAGCTCATCCTGCTGCAGACACAAACCCTCGTCTTGGCCTAGCCAAACCCAATCGTGGGCATGTGGCATGGACTCTGGCGTCTCAATGGACAGCTGTTTGCTTCGATATTTATATGCATAGGAAATGCAGTTAATGAGAAAAACCATGATAGCCAGGCAAAACACTCCCAGCAGAGCATACATGCCGATCTCCAGATCTGTGAGGCCTCTGGTGCGTGACGGCAGTAAGTCATCAGTGCTGTGGCTGTGGGGCTGCTCACCCTGGTCTGGATACTCAGAGAACTCACTTGGGACCTGGACTCCGCTGTCCGCTGACAGGCGGCCCCCATTAGGCCTACCGGGGGACTGGCCCCTCATGGTTGTAGTTCCACGGTTGATTAAGCCAGGTTCCATGTCAGAGATGGAGCCTCCATAATAAGGGGGCTCAGGCCTTGTTCGTCGCTCCCCATGCTGTCTGTACTCCTCTGACAGGCCCAGCCTCACCTGGATGTTGGCTAGCCCAGTCCCCAGGACAGTGCTCCTCTTTCCTTTTTGGCATTGCTTCGAAAGGCTCATCTCGACTCGGACCAGTAAACCCTGACCTTCTCCTTTGGCCACAATACTGGGCCATTTCCAGGCATCCGTTTGCTGCACTGTCACCACCTTCTGGTCCAGTGAGGTGGCGGATAGAGTGAAGTGAGCAATGTTGTAGTTGTCCAGAGGAGTCATGGAGCCATCACTGAGCTGCAGCCAAGCACTGATGAAGGACTCCTATAACACACACAAAGGGAACGGAGGATAACAACCCTCACCCAGATTGCAAATGATACTCAAAATAACACTGTATTTGCATACAGATGACACCAAGTGTGCAACAGTTTGGAAGAAGAGCATCTTAATTACAGTTGAATGCCTTATAGAAACAATTGGATAAATAGACTGAGTATAAGTTAACTCTCTTCTCTCAAGGGAAAAGAATAGCCCTGCTAATTTACAATTATAATGAACATGAACAGAGATGCTCAGTGTTGGTTATGCAAATCAAGAAAGTGGCTTCTTAGAATCAAATCACCACAGAGAAGAGAATTACTATTATTATCACAGGGTTCATAGATCCAATCTTCATTATGTGGACAAAAACTAATGAGAGATTGACCTGTGCTGTAGCAGAATAATGCAAAACGTCAAACAGAGATGATTAGGTTTAATTGTACCTGTTTAAGTGATTCAATGACCTCCTGTGTGGTGGCTGTGGCGACAATGGCTCGGTTGCTGCCAGGGCTGAGCTGCAGAGACAGCGAGAGTCCCGAGACCAGCTGCACACCCAGCTCCGTCACGCTGACTTTATCATCCACCACACGGACACTCCTCTCACCCAGGACCAGCGATGTCAGTGGGGACAGTACCTGCAAATCATCATGTTTTTGTCATTAAGAATATTAGGTCTTATGCATGTTATGGTGGGTGTTTGCATTAATACTGCAAAAACTTCGACCTTGCAAGTATCTTCAAGTGTTCCTGTTGAATGTTGATTTTCTTTTAGCAGATAAATCTAGTAGAAAGTGATCATTTGGACTATTATTCTGATCAACAGAATTAAAGGAAGTTCAGGGCAGTTCAAATCCTAGTATCTTAAATCCCAGAACTATCAGCTGAAGCGAGTTGATTCTATGTGTTTGGATTTTAGCTTCAACAAATTATTCTACACTTTCATTGATGTGAAAGCTAGTTGGTTGGAAATAATGAATTGCTCCAACCGAAAACCAACTCAGCTTTCATCTTCTGCATGTCACACAGTTCAAAGAAGCAAACCGAGGCCTTGGTTTTACCATTTCTTCCATGTTATATTGAACTAACTGCAAGAGTGGACAGCATGAGGCCTTTACTTTACATCACGGTGGTCTCCAGGATTCTTTAGGATCAATTATTTAGAAGGTTTTCTCTGCAGAGGGGACTCCTGCACCAGAAAACCTAAACAACAATTCATCCTGTAGCACTGTAGACACAACCATGATCAAAAGTTAAGGCTTTTAAAGTTGTAGTGACCCCATTCTCACAGCCACTGGGTCACTACAAGGTCAAATACACAAGATTATGTGTACAAAAACCACATAAAAAGTTGCATGTACCTTTAAGTGAGAAAGTTTCTGCTGAGCTAATATGTCCTGTTGTATTCAGCCAACCCAATAGTGCACCGTCCTTGTAAATCAGAGTTGTGTGAATGTAAATAGTAGCAATTTTTATTATGAGCCACAGTTCCCTTCATTCCAATTAGGGCCAGAGTCTGTACTGCAGACTCCCCCACACGACGCCTTTCACCAGACATAATCATCTGCCAGCACCCATCACGGCCTCATTTGTTCAAGCCATTTACATCTCTCTTCCCTTAGGTCTACTTCTTTTATCTTTTTCACTTCCCACACAGCCATGGTTTCCATCTTTAAGTGAAACAGTATGCATGGTAAAAGCTGTAAAATATATATGTAGTATTAGTGATTAGTGCATGCATGTTGTGGGCAGATACATATCACCAGAGTGTATTTGAAATGTTTTACCCAAAAACCTAGTTTGTTTTTCATAGTGAACTTTCCCCATAATCCGTGTGCCAGAATGGTGTTTGAGACGACAGCTTCTGCACAAACAGACACATCTCCTCATAAACTCCTCCATCTTAACCATCCCAACTTCCATAAAATCTCCATCGACAGATTAGAAACGTATTCAAGAAGATTTTCTTTTATAATTAAGATAAAAATATACTCAACCCTCGATTTCACCCTCACACATAATTATTACAATGATCAAACATGTTTTTGTTTGTTGATTACTTGCACTTACTGTGGCTGCAATAGCAATCAGCCTGCATCTGTGTGACCAATGACGCCATTTATTTGGATTTGATTTATTCAGTTCACAAAGTTTTTAGTTTTTTTTTTCCTTCAATATAACCCTAACCCTGCATAAGAATAACCACAATGTAGATGTGCAGATGATGCACATCTACAATTTCAATCTAGAAATGTGTTTGGCATGAAAGTATTGTAGCTTCATGATTAGACGATTAGACTTGACATAAACATGATATATACACATAAGTGATTAACTTTTCGTTTTGGAAGCGTAAGTACTCAGTACTTATGTATATTTATATATTATATTTTTGTTATTCCAAACATTGTGACTTTTTATTTCAATGTAATTATTTTAAAACATTGAAAAAATGTATCGATTCTATAAAAAAAAAAAAAAAAAAACGTTGTACTTATTGGAATGGGAATGTTAATGTAGATCATGAAACCTAAAGCCCTGTGGCCAAGAAAGCTGAGCCAATAACGTGACAAATCATGAGGAGAAGGTGATGCCCGAGGTGGTGGGTTGCTGTACTAACATACTGTACTGCATCTCCTACACACAGCACGTATCCTTTATCATTTGAAGCAGAAAGACTCGTACAGAAGTGTGTAGGATGCCACGCCACTATTTTCAGATGTACGCCCATTGCAGATGCCTGGTGTAGTGTTGCCGGGGCTTTATCAAAAACACTCACACCTCATTTAGAACCATCTATATTGGCCATGCGGATGTACTGTCCAAACTTGTCCAGGAACAGTCACTTTTTTCACATTTGACCGGTATCTCTCTTGACACGCGTCAGCCCCGGCCTGTGGAGCTGTTCTGTGTGTGTGTGTGTGTGTGTGTGGAGCTGTTCTCTGTGTGTGTGTGTGTGTGTGTGGAGCTGTTCTCTGTGTGTGTGTGTGTGTTCTTGTAATCATCACGTTGTGGGGACTGAAATCTGTTAACACAGTCACGCCATGGGGACCCATTTCCTTAGGAGGACCAAAAACCAGGTCCCCATAAGGAAAACCATTTAGATGAATGGGGGAGCTGTTTAGAAGGTGCTGGGCAAAGTTTTAGAGAAGGCTCGTAAGTGATGTTTAATGTGTGTGTTGTGGTTGCTCATTGGCACCTCTGGTGGTAATGACTGGTAAGACACATTGGTTTCCACACACACTTTGCATATATAATTAAGTACCGCCCACATCCTGGTCCCCAAGAGTGATGATCTTGGAATCAACTGTTTTCAGCTGCTTTCAAATGCAACAGACAGGTAAGCATAATTTGCAATCATTTTAGAACAAATTTTGTATATATGCATGTTATTTAATAGCAACCAAGTTATTGCTAATTCACTTTTGTGGCCTGAATTGCTGTGGTTTTAATGTACAGACTAATGCAACTGGTTCGAGCTAGCATTGGCAACTTGTTGGAGCTAGCATTAGCAACTAGCTTGGACAGCAGATTCTACCAAACAGCACATGGGTCAATGTTCCCTTCTAAAAGGACATTCAGATGGCGAACAGTTGTCTTCGCAGTAAACGAGTGGTGACTAAATTACATAAGTAGAGCTTCTTATGTACTAGAAGTAGCTAGCTAGGAAGTTAGCACCGATTTTTGCTAACAAGCTAGTGTCAGAGTAAACAGGCTAAAGAATCTGAGTACTCTTTGCTGGTAGCTATACTAAAGACTGTATCTGTTCAATGCTCATGCAAAACGAATAAACTGTGTAATAAGTACAGATTCAGTGATTTACTTTGCATGGTTTCCCTTTTTAAGCAAGATTAGATGTGATTTTAATATACAACCTGTTAGCATTAGCAACTAGCTCGTATAGTAATCAACTTGTGTGTGGTACTTTCAAGAAGCAACTAAAGGTTTCTCAGTACATATACAGGTTCTGAATGATACAACTAAAGCTTTCTATGTAATAGCAGTAACCTATAGTGGCTTTACTTATTAAGAAGTAGTTTGCAGTTTAGTTTTATTTTAAGAATTAAGTGGGTCAAATAGCAGAAATATTTAATTTCTTCAAGTAGAAAGGAAAAAGAAAAGTTACTGAAGTACTGGATGAATATATTAATTGAGTACCTGACTAAATGTTGAAAGTAAAGGTTTGATTTTGTAATTATGTATTAAAATATATTAGATATAGAAGATATTTGGAAGTAATATAGTAGAAACAGCTGTACCAAACCTACAGATAAAATAAATTACAAATGTAATAGAATTGTTTCAAAAAATGACTCAAGTGAAATCATAATTATGCATTCTGTTGTTTCAGTTTTTGATGATTTAAATGGCACCACGAATTAGCCCAGAAAAACCTCTGTCTGTGGGGTTTGAAAATTTAGCTGAAAAAGCTGTCTCTGTATTATATAATTTGAATTGATAAATATAGGTAAGCTTTGAGTATGTAAGCTTGGTGATTGTAGCACTATACTGTATAATGTATGTACTATATGTGTTTAAAAGTTTTTATATATCAATATATATATTTCTTTTTTTTCAGCATTGATGCTTCAGTACAAGATGGCACATTTGGGCGTATTGTTAATGATGACCACATCCACCCAAATTGTAAGATGAAAAGAAGCATTACGAGACAAAAAAAGAAGGAGAAGAAATTACTTATGATTATGGTGGAGATGACTGCCCATGGAGAGAAAGAGTATGTCACAAACACACGCTTAAAATAATTGCTTATTTCTAACCTAATACAAAGAATGCCCTTTCAGTTACTGCTATTGACTTGAACTATGTTTGAAAGTTTGTTTCATTGGTCCCCATAAAGAATGAATGGAAGTGTGTGAAATGGCCTCCTATGGTGGTGATTTTACATTGTATGATTGTTTTAGTTATGACTTGGAGCTTGGAGTTTTCTGCTATAGACAAGGCTTTAGGTAGACTTCAGGAAGTCTAGTTTAGACCTTTATAAACCCTGATTCTCCACTGTGAGATCAATTAAGTTTCTCTTATCTTGTTTCATGGTGATCCAGACCTGGTGGTACATTTCAGTATTTTATAACATGGGGCTTGGTTGGAAAAATTGGAGCACTGTTTTAGACTTATAGATTATTATAGTGTTCTATTGTAAAGTCTTATACCTTCTGTCTCCCACAGATGACCCACGTGTCAGCAGATGGCTTTACAACAGGCTTTCTTGATCATTCTGACCATTCTTTGTCAGTTCTGAGCAAGCTTTTTAACATTTGAAGTCAATTATATAAGATTTGTTATGTTTAACTCATTTAACTATATTCAGTAAGTAGATAAGTGGAAGTAGAATATTTTTAGCCTTTTTCAAATGAACCATCACAATGTCCCCATAATAAATTGAGTGACTTCTGTTGAGTTTAATCATGTGTGAAAGTCTGTTGAAATGGTCCCCGTAAAGAAGGAATAGAAGTGTTTGAAATGGTCCTAAAAAGGTCCCCATAACGCACTAGGAGTGACTGATGATGAGTGGAATTGTTTGTGAAAGTTCATTGAATTGGTCCCCATGAAGGAATTGAGAGGGGTGTGAAAAGGTCCTCATGAGACGTGTTCCAGACTCTAGATGTGTGTGTGTACAAACAAGTTGGGTTTACATCTGTCAAACTATGATTTGTGTACTGCTGGTAATACTTGGGCCCCCTTGGGTGGTTCTTTAAATTTAAATTTGTGATCTCTGTTCTAGACCATGATTATTTTAGTGTTTTATTATAAATCCTTATACCTTCTGTCTCCCACGGATGACCCATGTGACAGCAGATGGCTCAACTACAGGTTTTCTTGATCATTCTGACCAGCCTCAGTGCCACATGAATATGTCATTTGGAAACGATGCCTATCAGATTAAGGTAAGATCATATTTATCAATCATGACAAAATACCAGAGGTTCTTTGTCAGTTCTGAAATGTTTTTATAACATCTGAAGTCAATTATCTTAGATTTGTTATGTGTCACTCGTTAAACTATATTCAGTAAGTGGAATTGTCGAAGGAGAGTATTTTTTACCTTTTTTTGGTCATGGCAGACGAGAACTTTTTACTCAAATGTTTCTTTAAATTGAACTCTCCCGATGTCCCCATAATACACTTTGAGTGACTTCTATTAAACATGTGTGAAAGTCCATTGAATTGGTCCCCGTAAAGGAGGAATGGAAGTGTGTGAAATGACCATCAAAATGTCCCCATAACACACTTTGAGTGACTGCTGATGAGTTGAACCGTGTGTGAAAGTCCATTGAATTGGTCCCCATGAAGGAATGGGGCGGGGGTGTGAAAAGGTCCTCATGAGGCATGTCCCCGACCATAGATGTGTGTATGTGCAAATAAGTTTGTTTTAAATCTGTCAATCTATGATTTGTGCACTGCTGGTAGTACTTTGGCCTTCTTGGGTGGTTATATTAAATTAAATTTGTGATCTCTGTTTGAGATGGTGATTATTATAGTGTGTTATTGTAAATCCTCATACCTTCTGTTTCCCACAGATGACCCACGTGACAGCAGATTGCACTACTCCAGGTTCTGTTGATCATTCTGACCAGCCTCAGTGCCACATGAATACGTCATTTGCAAACGATGCCCCTCAGAAACAGGTAGGATAATTTTTATCAATCATGACAAAATACCAGAGGTTCTTTGTCAGTTCTGAAAAGGTTTTATAACATTTGAAGTCAATTATCTTAGATTTGTTTTGTGTCACTCATTAAACTATATTCAGTAAGTGGAATAGTGGAAGGAGAATACTTTAAGCCTTTTTTGGTCTTTGCAGACAAGGACTTTTTACTTAAATGTTTCTTTCAAATTAACCCTCACGATGTCCCCATAAAACACTACTGAGTGACTTCTATTAAACATGTGTGAAAGACCATTGAATTGGTCCCCGTAAAGGAGGAATGGAAGTGTGTGAAATGGTCATCAAAATGTCCCCATAACACACTTTGAGTGACTGCTGATGAGTTGAACCGTGTGTGAAAGTCCATTGAATTGGTCCCCATGAAGGAATGGGGCGGGGGTGTGAAAAGGTCCTCATGAGACATGTCCCCGACCCTAGATGTGTGTATGTGTAAATACGTTTGTTTTACATCTGTCAAACTATGATTTGTGTACTTCTGGTAGTAATTTGGCCTTCTTGGGTGGTTCTATTAAATTAAATTTGTGATCTCTGTTTAAGACGGTGATTATTCAAGTGTTTTATAGTAAATCCTCATACCTTCTGATTCACACAGATGACCCACGTGACAGCAGATTGCACTACTCCAGGTTCTGTTGATCATTCTGACCAGCCTCAGTGCCACATGAATATGTCATTTGCAAATGATGCCCCTCAGAAACAGGTAGGATAATTTGTATCAATCATGACAAAATTCCAGAGGTTCTTTGTCAGTTCTGAGAAAGCTTTTCAACATTTGAAGTCATTTGTATAAGATTTGTCATGTGTAACTCATTAAACTATATTCAGTAAGTGGAATAGTGGAAGGAGAATACTTTAAGCCTTTTTTTGTCATTGCAGACAAGGACTTTTTACTTAATTGTTTCTTTCAAATGAACCCTCACGATGTCCCCATAAAACACTTTGAGTGACTTCTATTAAACATGTGTGAAAGTCCATTGAATTGGTCCCCGTAAAGGAGGAATGGAAGTGTGTGAAATGGCCATCAAAATGTCCCCATAACACACTTTGAGTGACTGCTGATGAGTTGAACCGTGTGTGAAAGTCCATTGAATTGGTCCCCATGAAGGAATGGGGCGGGGGTGTGAAAAGGTCCTCATGAGGCATGTCCCCGACCCTAGATGTGTGTATGTGCAAATAAGTTTGTTTTACATCTGTCAAACTATGATTTGTGTACTTCTGGTAGTACTTTGGCCTTCTTGGGTGGTTCTATTAAATTAAATTTGTGATCTCTGTTTAAGACGGTGATTATTCAAGTGTTTTATAGTAAATCCTCATACCTTCTGATTCACACAGATGACCCACGTGACAGCAGATTGCACTACTCCAGGTTCTGTTGATCATTCTGACCAGCCTCAGTGCCACATGAATATGTCATTTGCAAACGATGCCCCTCAGAAACAGGTAGGATAATATTTATCAATCATGACAAAATTCCAGAGGTTCTTTGTCAGTTCTGAGAAAGCTTTTCAACATTTGAAGTCATTTGTATAAGATTTGTCATGTGTAACTCATTAAACTATATTCAGTAAGTGGAATAGTGGAAGGAGAATACTTTAAGCCTTTTTTTGTCATTGCAGACAAGGACTTTTTACATAAATGTTTCTTTCAAATGAACCCTCACGATGTCCCCATAAAACACTTTGAGTGACTTCTATTAAACATGTGTGAAAGTCCATTGAATTGGTCCCCGTAAAGGAGGAATGGAAGTGTGTGAAATGGCCATCAAAATGTCCCCATAACACACTTTGAGTGACTGCTGATGAGTTGAACCGTGTGTGAAAGTCCATTGAATTGGTCCCCATGAAGGAATGGGGCGGGGGTGTGAAAAGGTCCTCATGAGGCATGTCCCCGACCCTAGATGTGTGTATGTGCAAATACGTTTGTTTTACATCTGTCAAACTATGATTTGTGTACTTCTGGTAGTACTTTGGCCTTCTTGGGTGGTTCTATTAAATTAAATTTGTGATCTCTGTTTAAGACGGTGATTATTCAAGTGTTTTATAGTAAATCCTCATACCTTCTGATTCACACAGATGACCCACGTGACAGCAGATTGCACTACTCCAGGTTCTGTTGATCATTCTGACCAGCCTCAGTGCCACATGAATACGTCATTTGCAAACGATGCCCCTCAGAAACAGGTAGGATAATTTTTATCAATCATGACAAAATTCCAGAGGTTCTTTGTCAGTTCTGAGAAAGCTTTTTAACATTTGAAGTCATTTGTATAAGATTTGTCACGTGTAACTCATTAAACTATATTCAGTAAGTGGAATAGTGGAAGGAGAATACTTTAAGCCTTTTTTGGTCATTGCAGACAAGGACTTTTTACCTAAATGTTTCTTTCAAATGAACCCTCACGATGTCCCCATAAAACACTTTGAGTGACTTCTATTAAACATGTGTGAAAGTCCATTGAATTGGTCCCCGTAAAGGAGGAATGGAAGTGTGTGAAATGGCCATCAAAATGTCCCCATAATACACTTTGAGTGACTGCTGATGAGTTGAACCGTGTGTGAAAGTCCATTGAATTGGTCCCCATGAAGGAATGGGGTGGGGGTGTGAAAAGGTCCTCATGAGACATGTCCCCGACCCTAGATGTGTGTATGTGCAAATAAGTTTGTTTTACATCTGTCAAAATATGATTTGTGGACTTCTGGTAGTACTTTGGCCTTCTTGGGTGGTTCTATTAAATTAAATTTGTGATCTCTGTTTAAGACGGTGATTATTATAGTGTTTTATAGTAAATCCTCATACCTTCTGATTCACACAGATGACCCACGTGACAGCAGATTGCACTACTCCAGGTTCTGTTGATCATTCTGACCAGCCTCAGTGCCACATGAATACGTCATTTGCAAACGATGCCCCTCAGAAACAGGTAGGATAATTTGTATCAATCATGACAAGATTCCAGAGGTTCTTTGTCAATTCTGAGAAAGCTTTTTAACATTTGAAGTCATTTGTATAAGATTTTTCATGTGTAACTCATTAAACTATATTCAGTAAGTGGAATAGAAGGAGAATACTTTAAGCCTTATTTGGTCATTGCAGACAAGGACTTTTTACTTAAATGTTTCTTTCAAATGAACCCTCACGATGTCCCCATAAAACACTTCTGTTGAGTTTAATCATGTGTGAAAGTCCATTGAAACGGTCCCCGTAAAGAAGGAATGGAAGTGTGTGAAATAGCCCTCACAATGTCCCCATAGCACACCTGGAGTGACTGCTGATGAGTTGATCAGTGTGTGAAAGTCCATTGAATTGGTCCCCATGAAGGAATTGAGAGGGGTGTGAAAAGGTCCTCATGAGACGTGTCCCCGACCCTAGATGTGTGTATGTACAAACAAGTTGGTTTTACATCAGTCAAACTATGATTTGTGTACTGCTGGTAGTATTTGGGACTGCTTGAGTGGTCTTTTGATTTTAATTTGTAATCACTGTTTTAGACGGTGATTATTTTAGTGTTCAATTGTAAATCCTCATACCTTCTGTCTCCCACAGATGACACTTATACCACAGATTTTTTGATCATTCTGACCAGCCTCAGTCCCACATGAATACGTCATTTGGAAACGATGCCAATCAGAAACAAGTAGGATCCTATTCATCAATCATGACAAAATACCAGAGATTCCTTGTCAGTCCTGAGAAAGCTTTTTTAACCTTTGAAGACAATTATACAATATTTGTTATGTGTAAGTCATTTAACTATATTCAGTAAATGGATAGTGGAAGAGTGGATGAGTGAGTTCTGTTGAGTTTAATTATGTGTGTGAGTCCGTTGAATTGGTCCCCATAAATAAGGAATGGAGTGGGGTGTGAAAAGGTCCTCAAGAGAAGTGTTGTCGTTTTTTGTCTTGTTTGTTTATATTAGGTTTTTTTTATTTACAGATTCTTGCACAGCACACATGGGAAGTCGATTATGTACCAAAACTGATAAGGACAAAAAGTGTCATAGTAAGTCAGTACAAAATGTACCTATAAAACTTGTTATCATCCAGTGAAGTTAAATGTGTCATTCATTTATTTTGTAAGTATTTTTTTTCAATGAATTGCATTCTGACTGTTTTTTTTTTTACTTTTTTGGAATTCTTAGTTGTTAAAATGTTTTTTCTTGTTTTATTCAGATGAAAGACACAAATCATCTTGACTGTGAGTTTTATGATTCTACAATGGATAGTTCAGACAACTATGTCCCAGATACCTCGTCTGATTCAGAAAGTGATAGTGATCCAAACTTCGTCATGAAACAAAATTACAACTCATTCTTGATGATTCTATCCCTGCAAACAATCTTGAATGGGACTTCACAACTTCATTCAAGATGCTAAGATGTGTTTCAGCTGAAACATCTTCTGCAGTTGAACTCAGTTCAAGTCAGGCCACTACAAATATGGCTGTTAAGGCATACAACAAAAATGGTGTACAAAGAATATATGACGAAAGACATTTTTTTGCTCTGCATTTGAAGCAAAATGTGCTTTCATCAAGAAATAAGCTGTTCACAATCCTAGCAATAAAAAATATAAAATTGGTTAATAAAGGCACATTTACAAAGACAGTCTGTGCATTCTTTGGCCTTAACATTGTACTTATTAGATTTACAAAGGGTCCCCATGAGTAAATTATAAAAGTGTGTGAATTATGCAAAAAATATGCAAATCTGGTCCTTCTAAGTGACATTGACTCGTTTTTTTATAGGTCCCCACAGTACACTGCCAGAATATCATTTCATCAATTGACACATTTTAAGATGTGTATATGCTTACAATGTTTTGTTAAGTAACTCAATTTTTTTTTTTATGACTCTAGAACCTCTAGAAAGGGTGGTCCCCACATGTGATGATTTGAAACCTGGTCCCCATCAAGAATGGAAACCAGTATGTGTGTGTGGAGCTGTTCTCTGTGTGTGTGTGTGTGTGTGTGTGTGTGGAGCTGTTCTCTGTGTGTGTGTGTGTGTGTGGAGCTGTTCTCTGTGTGTGTGTGGAGCTGTTCTCTGTGTGTGTGTGTGTGTGTGGAGCTGTTCTCTGTGTGTGTGTGTATGTGTGTGTGTGGAGCTGTTCTGTGTGTGTGTGTGTGTGTGTGTGTGTGTGTGTGTGGAGCTGTTCTCTGTGTGTGTGTGTATGTGTGTGTGTGGAGCTGTTCTCTGTGTGTGTGTGTGTGTGTGGAGCTGTTCTCTGTGTGTGTGTGTGTGTGTGGAGCTGTTCTCTGTGTGTGTGTGTATGTGTGTGTGTGTTTTGTGTGTGTGTGTGTGTGTGTGTGTGTGTGTGTGTGTGTGTGTGTGTGTGTGGGAGCTGTTCTCTGTGTGTGTGTGTGTATGTGTGTGTGTGGAACTGTTCTGTGTGTGTGTGGAGCTGTTCTCTGTGTGTGTGTGGAGCTGTTCTCTGTGTGTGTGTGTATGTGTGTGGAGCTGTTCTGTGTGTGTGTGTGTGTGGAGCTGTTCTCTGTGTGTGTGTGTGTGTGTGGAGCTGTTCTCTGTGTGTGTGTGTGTGTGTGTGTGGAGCTGTTCTCTCTGTGTGTGTGTATGTGTGTGTGTGGAGCTGTTTTGTGTGTGTGTGTGTGGAGCTGTTCTCTCTGTGTGTGTGTATGTGTGTGTGTGGAGCTGTTTTGTGTGTGTGTGTGTGTGTGGAGCTGTTCTCTCTGTGTGTGTGTGTGTGTGTGTGGAGCTGTTCTCTGTGTGTGTGTGTATGTGTGTGTGTGGAACTGTTCTGTGTGTGTGTGGAGCTGTTCTCTGTGTGTGTGTGGAGCTGTTCTCTGTGTGTGTGTGTATGTGTGTGGAGCTGTTCTGTGTGTGTGTGTGTGTGTGTGTGTGGAGCTGTTCTCTGTGTGTGTGTGTGTGTGTGGAGCTGTTCTGTGTGTGTGTGTGTGTGTGGAGCTGTTCTCTGTGTGTGTGTGTGTGTATGTGTGTGTGTGGAACTGTTCTGTGTGTGTGTGGAGCTGTTCTCTGTGTGTGTGTGTGTGTGTGTGGAGCTGTTCTCTGTGTGTGTGTGTGTGTGTGGAGCTGTTCTGTGTGTGTGTGTGTGTGTGTGGAGCTGTTCTCTGTGTGTGTGTGTGTGTGGAGCTGTTCTGTGTGTGTGTATGTGTGTGGAGCTGTTCTGTGTGTGTGTGTGTGTGTATGTGTGTGTGTATGTGTGTGGAGCTGTTCTGTGTGTGTGTGTGTGTGTTTGTGTGGAGCTGTTCTCTGTGTGTGTGTGTGTTTTTGTGGAGCTGTTCTCTGTGTGTGTGTGTGTATGTGTGTGTGTGGAGCTGCTCTCTGTGTGTGTGTGTGTGTGTGTGGAGCTGTTCTGTGTGTGTGTGTGTGTATGTGTGTGTGTGTGTGGAGCTGTTCTCTGTGTGTGTGTGTGTATGTGTGTGTGTGGAGCTGCTCTCTGTGTGTGTGTGTGTGTGTGTGTGTGTGTGGAGCTGTTCTGTGTGTGTGTGTGTATGTGTGTGTGTGTGTGGAGCTGTTCTCTCTGTGTGTGTGTGTGTGGAACTGTTCTGTGTGTGTGTGTGTTTGTGTGGAGCTGTTCTCTGTGTGTGTGTGTATGTGTGTGTGTGGAGCTGTTCTCTGTGTGTGTGTGTGTGTGGAGCTGTTCTGTGTGTGTGTGTGTATGTGTGTGTGTGTGTGGAGCTGTTCTCTGTGTGTGTGTGTGTGTGGAGCTGTTTTGTGTGTGTGTGTGTGGGTGTGTGTGTATGGAGCTGTTCTCTCTGTGTGTGTGTGTGTGTGTGTGTGTAGCACAAGAGGCGCAATATCATCAGACTTTTCTGCTGATGTGAGCGACCCGCCCTGCCTTTGCGATCGACATATGGAGCATCCCTGCTTTACACAAAGCTTATGATTTCTCACCTAATGTGTGATAATAAATACATAAAAATGTGCTTAATAATTTGGGAAAAGTGGCGAGTGGGGTTTTCAGGAGTTTATTTTTGATGGTTTTAACTTGTATTGTATTATGTCTTTTGTATTTTTTGTGGTATTTTGGACACCCTTAAAAATGAAAGGCTGCACATCACTGGGTTTTCCATGTATACATCTCATCTTTATCGTACAAAATCATTGGAACATTCACAGCTGGTCCTTTGCTTCAGTGGAACATACAAAAGCTGCACAAATCCACGAGTCTGTTTCATGGCTCATCTGGCCTTTCCTCTTTTCGAAATGTCATAGTTATTCTTCTCCTTTGATTCATCCAGTCAGATCTTCTCTCTTTACCCCAGTTGAAGTCCTTTGTCCAATTTTCCAAAGTGTCATGTCTCACCTGAACCCTATTACAGAGACGGTGAGGTCCATACCCAGGGAGGGGGGAGACGGACACCCTCTCTCTCTCCCTCCGGTTTGAAGGTTCTTCATCCCACCTCCAGAGGGCAATTAAAGCCTCCCCAGTCCGCCTCCACCTGTTCTCAACTGTCAAACTCCACCTCTATGATTCCTGTCCAAATCTCTCCAGGCCAGAGCTACGTGACCACACACACACACGTCGCCCCCAGGCAAAGACATTCCATTGGCTATTTTTCAGAGTTGAACTTTTAAAAATATAAATTCCGATTAGGAATATCAGTGACTCCAAAATGCTCCGACACTGGCCATCACTACATGCATGGAAAACGTTTCTATAGATTAGAGATTGACCAATATGTCGGACAGCCAATATATACAATGTTTTTTGTTGACACATTGAAATATATCAGCCTAAACTTCTTCCCATTTAGTCGATATGCTACCATTTCACATTGTACTTAATCGTAAAGAAAATGTTCACAGCAAAACAGTCATATCATATAATTTATTAATCCTAATTAGCTAACTAGAATATTAGCATTATAATATTAGCTAAAACTCCATGTCTATCTACGTCCCTAAAAAAATATTGGCCTTTGAAAACCCATATTGGTCAATCTCTACTATATACAATCTTCTGTCTATCTCTGTTGGATTTAGCTGAAGTTAGCAATGTGCAGGTATTTGGTGCAATCCAGTCCAGGTCCAGTAAAGCTTTCAGTGAGCAATGTTGATTTAGCCTTTTATGTTTTATTCATTATAACAATATTGAATACGCAGTGGTAAAATATTATTGTTGAACCATAATGTCAATTTTGAAATGGCAGCACAATGTAATCTGGCAAAAATACCATGAGCATCCAAACACCAAGCCATGTATTTGTTTATTTGGATGGGACAGTATATTAATGAATAACAGAGGCTGTAAATACACCAGATTGTACACAAAGTCATTCAACTCTAACCTATTGGACACATTTTTAGTGGTAAGGAAAACAGGAGCACCAGGAGGAAACTTATGCAGACAAAAATCCCTGTCTGGAGAAGGAATCACACCCGGTACCTTCTTGCTGTGAAGCCCACATGGTAAGCACTGTGCCGCTGAGCAGGTTTGAACACTGGTGCATTTATATATTTGTATGCTTTGAATGATGTCATATTGAATTTCAAACAAATGTGATGTCTCATTGTTTTTTGGTATCTGGCCAACTTAAAATGGTACACTCATATACCAAGCCTTTGTTTTTGTTTTTTTATATATACATAATTT